AAATTTGTATATGTAGAGAAACACATCCGCACACAAATAAATTACTTATACACCGACATATTAAAACAACGCTGCGACCTGGAGCGTCAAGTAATAAAGAACGCACTCAGCCTAGCTATTCAATCACCGGACGACTTCGCTTACCAAATCATGAAGAGGCCAGGATATATGGCAACGCTTTCTGGAGAAGTCGTACACGTCACTAAATGCACTTCTGTAGAAGTAAAAGTACAACACACTCAGGAATGCTACCAACAACTACCTGTATTAATAGGAAACAAAACATACTTCCTAGCGCCACGAACTCACATATTATTCAAAACGGGAACGCAAATCACGTGCAGCAGAATACTTCCAACCATGTATTTTCTAAACAACGGATGGTACCGCATAACACCAAACGTCAAATACAGCAAGACACCTGAAATAATGAAACCAATGACGAAACCAACCTGGCATTACAGCGATCCTGGAGCTTTGGCTGCCAGTGGCATCTACACTAATCAAGATCTTAAAAACTTAAGGGATCATATTATGTTCCCAGCGAAAAAAGCCGGAATATTAAACACTATGGCACGTGGCATGAAAGGAGAACCTACACTAACACAAGGAATATCGCTCTCCCACCTAATGGACAAAACACTCTACACAAAATCACAGAAAACGCTTGAAAAAAAATTTGGGGAACCTTTTTATCTTTGGCAACGCAACTTCAGGCATAATCGGCATTTATTTCTGCATAAGGACGATAAAACTAGTAGTGGACACCATGCTGCATGGTTATGCATTACACACTATATATGGATGGTCAATACATCTGATCGGAGCACTTTGAGATTTAGTAACAAATTTACTACTTCACATGGCACGAGGGGTGCCTAAAAACAAAGAGGATCAGAAGAAAGAAGAAACACAAAATTTATCTCATCCGGGCAGACGAGAAAATACACAGACAACAGACACACCATACACACAACTCTCACAATCTCCCATATGCCAACTTTCTGTAAAAAATGAAACACAAAATATGAAAGAAGTCGATACCCGCAAAGAATCTCATAGTGCATATCCACGGTTAAAAAAAAAAAAAAAAAAAAAAAACTATAAGTTTTTTTTTCTTTTTATTTAGTTATATTTACCCCCGAGGGTTCCTACCTTGACGAAGTCCCGCGGCTGATGGGGTGGGGGGGTCTGGGGCGGAAGGATATCACCCGTTCAGGGGTGTGACCGACTAGCCTGGGTCCCCCTGGCTCGTCCGGCTGCTGGGGCGGGTGGAGGCTTGAGGGGGCGCGCGGGGACCGCTCGCTCAGGAGATGGCAACCGTGTGCGCCGGACAAAGCGGAACCTCCCCAAGCTAAAGTGTGTGCAACCGTGCTGAGGGCTGCATGGCGTAAGGGGAGTTACGTCGCTAACGGTGCCTCTCGGATACCGGGCGACCTTCGAGAGTATCGAGCCAAGCCCTGGGCATTCGCGGCTCTGCCGCGCGGCCGCGGTACTCGTGGGAACAAATATGAGTACAAGCCAAAATGAAAATGAAAACTTTATGGAAGTCTTACAGGGCGTGGCCACCTTAGGTGACGAACGACCTGGAGGAGAAAGCCCGAGCAATTCGGGGCGGAGCCAAATAAGGCCCAGCCACCAAACCCTAGGGTTCGTTATAGCGGAGCGGCAAGGCGACGCTATAAAAAACAGAAGCAGATGGAGGCGAAGAGGGAAGCTGCAAAGCCCACCTCGGAACTGATATCTGTTTCAACAGTTACTCCAAGGACAAGAGAGCGAGCTTCTTCTGGGGCGGTAAAGCGACTCAGATCGGAGCATAGCACACCCAGCCCTGCCAGTAACACTCAGTTGGGCAAAAGGCCGAAAGTCGTAACTGACCAAAGGACTTTTGCCCAATTGACCTTCGGTCTTGTAAGGGTTGCCCTGGTTCCCTTGGCTTACAAAAGACCCTGACAAAAGACTGGAAAAAGACGAGGCATTGCTTCTGAAAGAAACGGTCAGGAGGCGTATCCTTTGCTTAGCAAGGGGTACCAAAGCGCCTACTTTCAGAGGCACCTCGGATAGGGATGGGGCAGTTGTCTTTAACTGCACAAACAGGGAAACTGAGGAGTGGGTTAGAAGCCTAACCTCAGAAATCAAGATCAATGGAATCGAACTGCGTGCACTGCGGGTCGATGAGCTCCCTAAGAGACATCGAATCGTAGTGCACGTAGAGGATCCCACAATACCTGTCAAGGAAGCGTTGAAGCTACTTGACAGGCAGAATGTAGGCATCCAGTCACCGGACTGGGTGATCGCGAAGGGTAGCGAAAGCAGGGACGCCACGAGCACCCACTTCGCTGCCCTTGTTGGGGATGGGGCTTTGAGGGCGTTAAGAGCTCTCAACTTTAAACCCTACTGTGGACTTGGGCAGGCAACGATCAGGTTGCCTGCTGGAGAAAGCAGTAAGGAAGGCGCAAAGAAGAAATCACCGGACCCGTCAGCATAAATATGGCGGACCGGATTCACTTTACGCAGATTAACTTGCATCACAGCAAATGCGCCTCGGCCGTACTAGCCAGGTGCGCAGCTGTGATGCACACAAGTAAATACATATTTTTAATACAGGAACCATGGATCATCAAGGGACATATAAAAGGACTTGGCAGCTGTGGAAAACTATTCTGGGCCGGAAACACGGACCGACCGAGAGCGTGCATTATAGCGAAAGGAATAGACGCCTGTCTACTGCCACAATTTAGCGATGGTGACTTTGTTGCCATCAGACTGAAAATAAAGACGACCGGTGGAATAGTCAGGGATCTAATTATAGGGTCAGTGTACATGCCCTACGATTTGGAAAACCTGCCCCCACATGAAAACGTGATTAAACTCACGACTTATGCAAGGCAGAAAGGGCTAGAAATACTCCTGGGATGCGATGCCAACTTGCACCACCTGGTGTGGGGGAGCACCGACATAAATCCCAGGGGCGAGAGCCTATTCAACTTTGTGGTAGGTATGGAGCTACACATCCTGAATAGAGGAACAGAACCTACCTTCCTGGACTCTAGAAGACAGGAAGTGATAGATATAATCATATGCTCTGGCGGAATATTGGATCTGTTGAGGGGATGGAGGGTCTCTGATGAGCCCTCAGGATCAGACCACAGGCAGGTCCGTTTCACCATGGAGCAAGTACAGAGCCAAGGGTTATGGAAGAGAAATCCTAGGAAAACAAATTGGAGGGGTACGAGGAAGACTTTAGGAGTCGACTCAAGGAAGCACCCACTAGATTCCACACCAAAGAAAATTTGGAAACAGCGGCAGACTACTTGAATGATGCCATTAAATACTCATACGAGATGAACTGCCCATTAGAGTCAAAAATCCTTCAGCCAAAGCACCATGGTGGAGCAAAGAGCTGGCTAAGCTAAGGGCTGAGAGGAGAAGACTCTTTAATAGCTAGAAATGTAAATACACCGAGATCCTGGGAAGAGTACAGGAAATCTCAGAGAATTTACAAAAAGGCCATAGTAAAAGCTAAAAGGAAAGGATGGAGAAGTTTTTGCTCAAGTATAGAGAGTGCTCCTGAAGCATCTAGACTGAGTAGAATACTCTGCAAGGAAAACCAAACACAATGGGGCTGCCTTAAGCTTCCCAATGAAGGGTACACAGAAACTGCGGAGGAGACCCTACGGCACCTTATGGAAATCCATTTCCCAGGCTTTAGGGAGGACTCAGCAGACAACAACAACAGGCAGAGACCCATGACCGTGCACAAATCAAGGGCATGGGGACTGGCAGCTAAAGTGGTCTATCCACAAGCAGTGGAATGGGCGGTCGGTTCCTTCGAGCCTTTAAAGGCTCCAGGACCTGATGGAATATACCCGATCCTGCTGCAGAAAGGGCTGAGCAGCTTGTTAGGCCCAATGACAAAAATCTACAGGGCAAGTATTGCCCTTAGACATGTCCCCCAGAAGTGGAGAGAAACCAAGGTGGTTTTTATACCTAAACCTGGCAAGAACGGTCACGTCAGGGCAAAGGACTATAGACCAATTAGCCTTATGTCCTTCGTATTGAAGACCTTAGAGAGACTGGTGGACAGATTTCTCAAGTCCAACTCTCTAATACAACAACCTCTAGCCGACTCTCAGTACGCTTACAGGGAGGGCAGGTCTACCGAAACCGCCCTACATCACCTGATAGGCAAAGTTGAGAGTCAGCTGGAGGCAAAGGGCTATGCGATCGGAATCTTCCTGGACATCGAGGGCGCTTTCGATAGCACTTCACACGAGGTGGTAGGGGAGGCACTGATCAGACATGGAGTACAAGAACCACTGGTGGACTGGATAGAAGACATGCTAGTGGACAGATGCTTGACGGTGGAGTGCCAAGATATCTCCATCAGAGGAAAACCAACGAGAGGCTGCCCACAGGGGGAGTTTTATCTCCTCTGTTGTGGTGTCTAGTGATAGACGACCTGCTAAAGGAGCTACAGAGGAAAGGTTTCTCGACCTTTGGCTATGCTGATGACGTGGCCATTGTGGTTAGAGGACCATTTCTCAACACACTAAGGGACCAAGCAAAGGATACCTTAAGGATTGTGCAAAACTGGTGTGAGAACAGATGTCTAACGGTTAATCCGAGCAAGACAAATATTATGGTCTTCACCAGAAAATATAAACCTGAACCCATAGAGACGTTAAAACTCTGGGGAAAGGAAATACCGTTTACGAACTCGGTGAAATACTTGGGACTGATTCTAGATCCTAAGCTTAGCTGGGAAAACATCTCATAGAGCAAAGGAAAAAGTTCTATGCATCCATGTGGATGTGCAGAAGGGCAATGAGCAAGTCGTGGGGCATCAGCGCTGGTGCAGCATTGTGGCTGTACAGGGCGGTCCTGCTGCCGCGGCTGCTATACGCGTCAGTCGTCTGGTGGACGAGAATAAATAAAGGGAGGTGGAGAAACTACTTAGAAGCCTGCAAGGTAACTACCTAAGGGCTGCAGTAGGGGCCATGAGAACCACACCCACAGAGGCGCTTGAAATAGCACTCAGTGTTACGCCAATAGGCTTGGCCGTGATAAAATCAGCCAATATCACGGCATACCGCCTGAAATGTCAGGGTGAATGGAGAAACACAGGACTGGGACACACCAGGCTAGGTCTTCTCCAAAAGTACCCTATTGAGGGAAAACAAGACAGAACCACAAGAAAGTATCAACTGGTAAAACATTTTAAATTATGGATACCTGATAGAAACGAGTGGCTGAAACCGGGCGGGATCATGGACACAAAGGTGGACATGTGGTTCACGGACGGATCAGGCATAAACAATTGCTTTGGAGCAGGAGTATATGGACCTGGGGAAAACCATAGGGAGAGTATTCCAATGGGAGGCGACTGCACGGTCTTTATGGCAGAGATGCTCGCCATCCTCAGATGTGCCGAACTGAACCTAACCAAGGGAACAAATTGCAGGAAAAATATATCTGCTCAGACAGTAGGGCAGCCCTTCTGGCGTTGGCGGGTACGACCACCGAGTCATACTTGGTATGGGACTGCATGCTGGCGCTGGAGGAGCTGTGTGGAACAAATAAAGTAACGTTAGTCTGGGTACCCGGGCATCAGGGCATACCGGGAAACGAAATAGCAGACTCACTGGCTAGAGAAGGGGCTAGCAAAGCACCATATAGTCGGGAGGTGGGAGTGCCCTTTACGATGGGCAAAAACTTCATCAGGGACAGTATAGACAAACAACATAAGGCCAGGTGAGAAAATCTGAAATCCTGCCGACAGGCTAAATTCCTGATGAAAGACATAAATGGTAACAGAACCAAAGAACTACTCACACTAAATAGGCAGAAATTGAGGATGGGGATAGGACTGCTGACAGGACATTCACCAATACTCAAAGCCCACCTATTCAATATCAGACTCGCAGACAGGAAGGAGTGTCGACTATGCGGGGAAAAAGAGGACAGCATACATATTCTGGGCCAATGTCCGGCTCTGGCTAGAAGAGATTCAGGATCTGGGAAAAATTTTCTTAAATCCCAAGAATTAGACAAAACAAGGGTGGTGGAACTCATAAGCCTAGTGGAGAACTCTGGGCTGAGTACAGTTTAAAGTCAAGAGTGAGGAGACACAATGGATCTCGCTAGATCTAAGTGCCGTCGGGGCCTAGTCATGGAACCACTCACTACCTATCTACTACTTACTACTACTACTACTAGTTATATTTAGTAATTATTTTATATTCCTTTATATTATCCAGTTATATCATAGTTATTATAGATTATATACTCTTTAACGATATATCTAATATACAAACTACAAAATTTTTCTCTCTCTTTGCGTAATTTAGTATTAAGATTATACTATTCGATCGTACCTTAGTTACTACAGATCACGTATTCGCGATTGCACATCGTTTTTATTATAATTCATACGCGGAACACAACGTACCGCGTATGATTTAAAGGGAAAGGTGTCACGTACCGACAAATTTTCATCGGTCTCGGTTAGATTTATCTTAACTCAAACTAACATCTGATACGCGGGATCGCTAGAATTTGCTTATCGTCACGTATTGACAAATTTTCATCGCTCTCAGTTGATCCTAAACTAACATCCGATATGCAGAATCGTCAGGGTTGTTTATAAACCTTATAAACAAATCGAGATAAGGGCCTCCCTCCTTCAAAATTCATAGATGGAGGTGGTACAATTTCGAGTATAAATAGGCCTGGAAAAACGCTGTGCATCGCAGTTGAAATCTTAACAAAACCTTTGTCGTAGCTATAGTTCTACCCGAATCTCAACTGTCATCCTTCGTTTTCTTTATTCTTACGTTACGACTAATTCAGTACTTTAGACTTGTAATTTTGTGACCAGTTATAGAATAAAAGGTAATTGATAATACCACTATAAGCTTAGTCATTTGGAATCTGATCCAAGTTTTGATTAGAATTTACATATAACATAAGACATCTCGAGAGCGGGTAACGGCCTTTTCGCTGACCAAGAGTGTAGCGAATTGGTAACCGGCGCTGCCGAAGAGCGTAGCGCCTACGAACACTGCTCTTGGTGTACGAAGTTATCTACCATTACTCTCAAATTGAGCTCACCCTTTCGCTGCCAAAGAGCGTAGCGAATCGGACTGGTCGCTGCCTTGCGTAGCAACCTTAAGTTCATTTTGGAAGCTTCCGTCGTATTTAACATTCTCATGAAGAAAAGGGCAGGTAAACGGGTACAGCTCAAACGGCTCAGATACCAGATATAACAAGCGATTGATTCACAAGATTTCTTTCACCTCACCCAAAAACTCCAAGATTTAGAAGCAAACACCCAAATCGAGAAACCTCCTACTATTCTTTACCGACTAACTCCTATTAACGTCGAGCCTAACTATCTCAACTATCGCCTTATTAACAAAACTGATCCGCGTTATAAAGTTTATAAATTTAGATTCCTATTCGGGGCTGAAAACCAAGTACACACAACCCGTCCAACTCCCGGGTAAAGTATTTTAATATACTGACCCAAAACGGACGAACGAAAACGTAACATTTTGGTGACAGCGGTGGGATACTAAAAGTTGTGTGAAAAACAAACAAGAAAGGAACATGTCATTGAGTCGTACGCCGCCTCCCGACAGGGACTCCGAAACAATGGATTGAAACAAAGGAGCAGAAGATCCAGAATACAAAATTACGAAGAATAGTGGTACAACAAGCAATTCAACAAACTCCCGGGTAAAGTATTTTAATATACTGACCCAAAAACGGACAAACGAAAACGTAACAAATAAAGATAAATGATGAAAATCACGAAAATTAA